TCCTTTCGGGGCTTTCAGGATTAGGAACAGCCGGCCTGGAAAATAGGTGCGGTCTGTCCCCAATTCCCAATAATAGCCTCTCTCTCTCTCTTGTTTGTCCCCAAAGCCAGGCAAGCAGCAATGGCTCAGTCTTGATTGTGGAGTCTCCGTTCTTTAATATGTTCCTCACAGCCATGGATTAAGCTTCTCCCTCCATGTGTCTTTCTAGATCTAATGATTGCTAGGGGCCATGACAACAACATTGTCATTCCCAGTGGAAATGTGCATTGTTGTTGTTGTTGTTGTGCGCCTTCAAGTCATTCCCATCTTATGCCAGTCCTAAGGCAACCCTTAGGCAAGGTTTGTTCAGAGGAGGTTTGCCTTGGCCTCCCTCTGAGGCTGAGAGAGGGTGACTTAATCAAGGTCACCCAGTGGGTTCCCATGGCTGAGTGGGGATTCGAACCCTGGTCTCCAGAGTCATAGGCCAATGCTCAAGCCACTTAGGGAGGGCAAACTCTCTCACGGTGGAGTCCTGTTGGTGCTTTGCACATATCTAACTTCCCCAGCAGATTTGTTCAGAAGGGGGTTGATTTTGCCTTCATCACATTGGGCAAGTCACACTCTCTCAGCCTCTTCAGAGGAAGGCAATGGCAACAAATTTTGCCAGGAAAACCCCATGATAGGTTCACCTTAGGCTTGCCACAAGTCGGAAATGACTTGAAGGCACACAACAATAGCAACAACATCTTGTTATCATCCTGTATTGTAATGCGTTTTTAAATGGGTTTAATTCTATAGATCGATTGCTCTTTTAAAAATAACATTCATATCTATTTTAACCTGTGTTTCTGCATGTTTTTAATTTGTTCTGGTTTTAATATTCTGTAGGCCACCTTGAGTCCAAATATAGAGGGGAAACACAGAATATAAATAAATAAAATAACAACAACAACAAACAACTCAGAACCTCCCAGGGAAAGTAAACTTTTCTGGTGGCATCTCTGTGTGGTGCTTTCAGTGGGACACAGTTTTAACAAAATGTTCTCCCTGTCTTTCAGCTAGAAAGGTAATGTGAAGATGTCAACGCTTCTCGTACCTTCGATGCACACACTCCAAATTGGTAAGGAAATCTGGGACCAAGGGCTTGGATCTTTGTACCGCTTTATGATTGGTGTGATAATGACTGGAAAATGCAGACTTTTGGCACAGTAAGCTGGCTTTCTAAGAGGAACCAAACAGCAGGCATTCCATACTCTCCAAATGTACCGATTTGGTAAGGGTAGTCCCAATTAATCCTCTATCATCCCACTTTTCCAGCTGCTTTTAAAGGTCCTGGTTCCTTTCTCTTCCCTCCACTTTCCTCCTTTCTCCTTGGCTTACTTCAGTTGCTGCAAACTGTTAACATTGCAAAAGCTGTTTGCACTTAGTTCACTCAGCAGGAGAGAAAGAAGGGAAAGGGGCGGAATCTTGTCTTTCTCAGTCAGCTCAGGCTAAAGCAAACCGCTGCAGCCTCTTCTACCTCAGCTGTTCTTCATCATCAATAGCTTTTGCAGTTGTGACCACGTGTTCCAGTTTTCCTCTGTGAAATGCTGGAGGATATGGCATTCCACCCAAACCATCCTTGCTTATTTCAGGACACTGGCAAAGTGCATTTTAAAGAGAGAAAATATCCCCGTTGCAATGAGATTCCATCTCTTAAAACATCCCTATGGAACCCCCAAATAAGCCAGTACGTGGCAAAAAGCTGAGGCTTGGAAAAGTTACTTTTGGAGCCTTCACATTCTGGAAACTCCCAAAAAATGGAGAGTTTGGGAAATAGGTGCCAAGAATGGAGCTGAGCATTATTCCATGCTTTCTCTCCCCACTTTCCACCAGGAAGGCAATAGCTAGGGTTTGAAACTGAGGTTTGGAAGCCTCCAATATTTCGTGGAAGGAAACCAGGAGGCATGTGGCCAAGCAAGATCAGAGCATGATCAAGATCCCCAAAATTGAATACTGAGCTTTACTTTGGAAGACTGATTTGGCAGAAGTGAAAGTATACCTACATTAAGCAAAAACGAAGAAGGACATGTCATTTCTAGAAATAGTTATGTATCTTTTTCGAAGGGTGGGAGGCCAAATTTAATTTGCTTGCAATGGTATTAAGGTATTGTAATGTTATGTATTGTTTGTCCATATTGTACAGTATTTGTGAATGATTTGTTTGTGTACTAGCTGACTGCATAGACATATGTGTGTGTGTACGGACCTTATCACACAGGGTCTAAAGCAGAGATAATCCAAAGGAAACCCAGTCCTATTGCGCATTATTTGTCCGTCTGTTCACACGACGTCGCAGGCAACCCAGAGACAACCCAGTGCCAATGCAGAGGAAACCCCGTTCTTTTGGCTTTCGGGTTTACCAGGTATTGCATTTGCGCGATTGGATTAATTGCGCATTAACTCCGCTTTCGCAATACGTCTGATCATCAAATACGTATCCTGGAGCATTTCCCCATCAATTCTGGATGGGATCTTCTCACTTGTGTGTGAACAGCAAATCCGTATCCAGGATGCGCTTTCTTCGCGAATTTGGCAATTGCGCAATTACTCATATAGCGTGTGATCGCCATTTCCGTATTGTGGGGTCTATTCCCCAATGCTTCTGGATTGCTTCTTCTTTTGCTTTTCTTCTGATTTGAGACCCCCGTGTGATAAGGTCCATATGTGTGTGTGTATGTCTTTTGTTAAAATAAGTCAAAATAAAATATTGGGTTGTGGGGGACGATGCCAAAAATAATGAATGAGAAAGAACACTCAAGCTAGGAGGGGCTGCACCAGTTTGCTTTTGCTAGAGCCTCTTGTCCGGAGAAGGGCAAGATTTGACTGCCTTCTCTCCTTTTTCTCCACTGAGTAAATAGAGTACAAACTACTTTTGCACTTTGAGCTCTGTTTAGAGTCCTTATAATACGCAGTGGACAAAGAGGGGAAGTGAGAGGAGGAAAGAGAACATAGGACATTTTAAAAGCAACTCAAAAAGAGGGATGACAGGGAATGAACAGGGACTGTCCCAGTCAGACAGGGACAGTTGGAGGGTATGTGTGGAAGGTGATGGAAAAGAGGTCCCCTCATCCTGTTTGATGGGATTTTACAGCACTTTGTCTGACTCCGAGATTAAAGATGCAGGAGGCCCACCTGGATCCAACCTGGCAGCCCTGTCTGGGCACACAAGGTAGTGTATGCCTTTGAATCCCAAATGCCGCTTCGATGCTTAGCGGAGTCCACTGCCAGCCTCTCCACACCCAATTCAGCTCTCCAGCATATATATGTCTACCTCCCTGTTTCTCAAGCGCCGGGTGGAGCCCCATCCAAAGCCAAGGCAAGGAAAAGATAAGATGTTTTTCAACTGACGCTGGACTTGGCAGCTCCAGCCGTGGGACATTCCTGAATTCAAAAGAAATGAAGGAACATCTCAGGCAAGGTTAGGGATCACAAAGCCCTCCTGGGGTGCATCCACACTGTAGAAATAATGCAGTTTTTGCACCACTTAAATTGCCATGGCTCCATCCTGCAGAACCCTGGGATTTGTAGTTTTTGTGAGAGACCAGCACTCTTTGGCAGAGAAGGTGAAAGACCGTTTTTGTTGATGTTAACTGCCTTTGTGTCGGTCTCGACTCATGGCAGTGACCCTAAGGATGAGACACCTCCAGACCCCCTTGTCCTCTCCTTCTCTGGCCAGCAAACTGCCAGAAATAGTGCAAATTGAGTCCACTTTAAGGGTTAGGGTTAGGGAATCATGGGAACTGTATTTTATTGTAGCACCAGAGCTCTCTGACAGAGAAGGCTCAATGTCTCAGGAAAAAAACACCAATTCCTATGATTCCCTAGCACTAACCCTAACCCTTAAAGTGGACTCAATTTGCACTATTTCTGGCAGTCTGCAAAGGCCCATAGTCTCTTTAATAAAGTCAATCCATCCATCTGCATTGTGGCCTTGCTCTCTTTCTACTTCCCTCCACCTTTTCTAACATTATTGTCTTTCCCAACCGTTCATGCCTTCTCATGATGTGTCCAAAGTACGACAGCCTCAGTTTGGTCATCTTGACTTCTTCCAGGGCTATCTTTGTCTTGATCTGCACTAAGACCCCTTTGTTTGTCCTTTTGGCTCTCCATGGAATCCTCAGCACTCTTCTCCAACCCCACATTTATCTCAAATGCATTTATTTTCCCTCCTATCTTCTTTCTTAACTGTCCAGCTCTCACATCCATAAATCATATAATCCATATAAAACTACAAACCCCAGGATTCCCATAGTCTTATTGGACTGCAACTGTCAGCATTCATCACCAGGACTGATGGGACCTGCAGTCCTACATCTGGAGGGCAGCATGATTAGCACCTCTGAGACAGATGATAAAAAAGCCTAAATCTTGGTTGCATTGAGACTGCATACCATAAATCTATACATGGTGAATTACACATGGGTTGTGTGTTGCACAAGGTTTGTGTTGAAGGGCAGCAGTACAGAACCAAATGTGCAAGTGAATACACAAGGGAAGGTGCAACTGAATTCATAGCCGAATGTTTCTCCATATGTGCAACAGCATCACATGGACAACCCTGTTTCCATGATCTTACATTTAATGGTGACACTGTGGTGTGTGTACTGTGTGCCTTCAAGTAATTTCCAACTTATGGCGACCTTAAGGTGAGTCTCATGGGGTTTCCTTGGCAAGATTTGTTCACAGGAGATTTGCCATTCCTTTCTCCTGAAGCTGAGAGCATACTGTTCAATGGATCAAAATGTTCCACAGGGGAACTTGCATGCATGTAAGACACTCACAGGATTACAGCCTTTAGCTTTGTAAAGGATAAAGATCCAAGACTGTGACTCCATCTAGAATGTAGTGGAGCAGTGTTGTAGATTGTTGTTGCTGTTGTTGCATGCCTTCAAGTCATTCCAACTTATGGCAACCCTAAGGCGACCCTATCACAGGGTTTTCTGGGGCTGAGAGTGTGTGACTCGCCCAATGAGTTTCCATGGCTGAGCAGGGAATTGAACCCTGACTCCAGAGTTGTAGTCCAACACTTTAACCACTACATCATACTGCCTCTTGGCATGAATTAGGGCAGGGGTAGGCAACCTTTCCCCTTTAAGGGCCGAGGGACTTCAGCTCCCAGAAGCCTCAGCCATGTTGGCCAATAGTCCCATGTTGGCCAATAGCTCCTGGGATTCTGGGAGCTGAAGTCCCTCGGCCCTTAAAGGGGAAAGGTTGCCTACCCCTGGATTAGGGGGTCACATTTGGAGATCTTGGAAAGCCACCCCCCTCACCTCATCCCCTGCAAAAAAAAAAAAAAGGTCAAATTTTGCTCCAATGACCTCTGAAGGGGCGTGGGAGCACAGTCACCACATTTTGGGCTTTCCTGGGCAATTTTAGCATACCTTCCACCTCATTTGGCAGGGACAGTCTCAAATGCCATCCCACTTTTTCAGCTGCTTTTAAAAGTCCCAGTTTCCCTCTCCTCCTCCCACTTTTGCCCTTTGTCCACAACTTACTTTAGTTGCTGCAAACTATTTTTAAAGATCAAAAGTAGTCTGCACTCAGTAACAGTGGGAAGAGGAGAAGGAGGAGTGGGATCTGGCTCTTTCCAGGAGGCTGAGGCAAAAGCAAACTGCTGCAACCTCTTCTAGCTTGTCCTTTAATAAAGTTTGCCATCTTGACCACCTCTGATGTTGCTTGGCCATAAATATCCTGGTTTTCATCTATGAAATCTTGATGGTTTGAGTGCTGGACTACAACTCTGGAGACCAAGTTTCGATTCCCTGCTTGGCCATGAAACCCACTGGGTGACCTTGAGCAAGTCACACTCTCTCAGTCTCAGGGGAAGGCAATGGCAAAGCTCCTCTGAACCAACTTTCCAAAGAAAACCCTATGATACGTTTGCCTTAGGGTCGCCATAAGTTGGAAACAACTTGAAGGTACACAACAACAAATAACAATGCAACATGTGCATTACGTACAGATGTCATTGTGCACTGTGCATGTTCAGTTTGTAGTGTGTTTGGTGTCTTGGTTCGGTTGTGCACAGAGTGCAAGGACAAGACACCGAAAAATGTAGGACATTCTAGAAAAATGTAGTTCATTGTAAACTGAAAGCCAAACACCCTAATATACCGTAAATTCATGCTTCTAAGTCATGCTCAAAATGAAGGACATTTTGGAATTCCTCCTGCACCGGAGCTTGAAATATAGGGCATGTCCTGGAAAAGGAGGACATCTGGTCACCCTGGTTGTGCAACATGGCCATTCAACACACGGGTTCTGTAGCACCATGAATGTATAATTCTGCACAGAAAGATTTATGCTATACCAATGTTGGATCTGTTGGCTGATTTATTATTTACACCTGCAATGGTTTTGTTTGCCTGGCGTTTGAGCATCGTTTGGTGTTGCATCTTATTTGCAAAGCAACAATTTGTTCTTTAAAGCGGACCCTTTATGCCTCCATCTCCTTCCCCTCCTTTCTTCCCGGATCATGAGATGGACCTTCATCAGGAGCGATGGCCCTGCCATGTCGCTTTCCTTTCCACCTCCTGCTCTCCTCTCCCCTTTTTGTACGCAATGAAATATTAACAGGACAGCCATCGGAGACAGGGAAATTCACTTAGGGAACAGATGAAGGGCCCATGATGCCATGTTGTTCCAGCCATTGATTCTTCACCTTGAGCCTTTCTCTTAACTAATCCCAGGAGCTGCGTTTGGAGAAAGGACAAAAAGCTAACTCTTGGCTCATAAAAGAAACCTTTTAACTGACACTCGACTGTTGGAGCATTCATCCAGGATCGGAGATAAAGCAACTCCCTCCAAAGTTGTCTCCTGCTCAGGATGTTGGTGGTCTTGGCAGGCCCTGGGCTGACCATTCAGTACAGCCAATGTTGGATTTTAAGCACACAAGGGACTCCTGGGGCCCTTTTACACAACATTCAGAGAATTGGAGAATCACACAGTTGAAAGAAACCCCAAGGGCCACCCAGTCTAACCCAATCCTGCCATGCAGGAACTCCCAATCAAGGCACCCCCAACAGATGGCCATCCAGCCTATGTTTAAAGACCTCCAAAGAAGGAGACTCCACCATTCTCCAAGGCAGTGTCTTCCACTTTCAAGCAGCTCTTACCCTCAGGAAGTTCTTCCTAATGCTGAGGTGGGATCTCCTTTCCTGCAGCTTCCATCCATTGTTCCGGATCCTAATCCCTGGAGCAGCAGAAAACACTTGCTCCATCCTCAATAGGACACCCCTTCAAATACTTAAAACAGGGCTAACATATCACCTCTTAACCGTCTCTTCTCCAGGATAAACAGACCCAGCTCCTTAAGTCTTTCTTCATAAGGCATGGCTTCCAGACCCTTCACCATTTTGGTTGCTCTCCTCCAGACACGTTCCAGATTGTCAATATACCTCTTGAATTGTGGTGCCCAAAACTGG